TACCGTATTGTTTCCCACGTATAGGTAGTGCGTTTTACCCGCTTCCGAGGCATCCCTCAGTGCCGTACAGATTTGTTCTTCGCTGACCCCGGGTTGCGACCAAATGACGCGGATTCTACTTCTCCCGTACCTTCTGAAATCGATTTTCATGATACCGGCTGTTCGTGTCTTCCAAATCACCTGACGGTGTTTGTCGTTCACGATCTCCTCTATTTCTTCCATTTCCGCTGCCCTTTCCTCCGCTGAGCTCTCCTCTTCCGGGGACTCTCCCCTGTCCTCAATACCTGCGGTATCATTTGCCCCTTCGCCATCGGGAGTCCATTCACTCAAGAATTGACGCACGTCCTGCGATGGTCCTCCCCTGTTCTCTTCAACCGCGTTGATCATGATGGCCCTCGAGAGCCAGTCTGCCACCACGTTTTCCTTTCCCGGCTTATACACCACCTCTATGTTGTATTGGCTCAGGATCTCCTTCCATCTCGTGACCCTAGCTGAGGTTTTCTTGAGTTTTCCTACCCACTGAAGGGGTTTGTGGTCGGTATGGACTCGAAATTTTCTCCCGAATACGTATGGCCTGAAATGGTCGATAGCCCATACTATCGCGAGTAGCTCCCTCTCCAAAGCGCTGTACCTTGATTCCGCACCCGTAAGCCGACGGCTTGCGTATGCTATCGGACGTTCCCCCTCACTACTTCCCTGAGACAAAACGGCCACCAACGCATACTCGCTCGCGTCAGTGGTTATGTTGAACAGCTTTTCAAAATCCGGAAACGCCAATACAGGCTCTGCCTGCAACCTACTCATGCATTTTCGGATATTGTTCTCCATTTCCGGTGTCACCGCAATCTTCGCACCCTTCTTGAGCAGATTGTTGATAGGGACCAAATACTCTGCCATCTCGGGCACGAATCTCCGGTAATAGTTGAGCGTCCCGAGAAGCCTCCGGATCCCTTTTACGTCCCGTTGTACCGCCATCCGTGTGATTGCCTCCACCTTTGCTGCATCCGGTCTAACCCCCTCGCTAGAGATAGTGTGGCCTAGAAAATTAATTCGCGTTTGCCCCAGCAGGGACTTCTCGCTCGACAATTTCAGCCCGAATTGCCGCAGCCTTTCGAAAACCGATCTCAGATGCCCCACGTGTTCGCCTTCCGTTTTACTGAAGATGAGCAGGTCGTCCATGTACACTTGGCATACCGCGTCATCGATACCCCTCAAAAACTCGTCCATCAGACGTTGAAACGTTATGGGCGCGTTCTTCAGACCAAACGGCATTCTGGTGAACTCATAATGCCCCCTTTCAAACGTAAACGCCGTCTTATGTTGATCTTCTGGGTGCATTCGTATTTGGTGATATCCCGCTTTGAGGTCCAATGTGCTAAATACTACTGCCCCACTTAACCTATCGAGTATATCTTCGAATCTGGGGATCGGGTACTTCTCATCCAAAGTATTGTCGTTTAATTTTCGATAGTCTATTACTACCCTATATCTTTCTTTGTTATCCCCCGGCACTGCTTTCTTTTTCACCGCCCACAGGGGACTATTAAAGGGTGAGGTACTATCGACGATGATCCCTTGCTCCTTTAGGCTGTCTAATTCCTCCCGAATATGCTGCCTCAGCGCCTGCGGGTATCTCCTTTCCTTCACGTAGGTTACCCTATCTTGTTTCAGTGGGATTTCATGCACCGTCCTCCCCGTTACCCCCAATACCTCGCCTTCCCTGAAGAAAATATCCCTAAACTCCGTTTGTAGCGACTTCCTCCAGTCCTCTACCCTGTTCACCGCTCCTATCCGTACCCTTCTTTCTCTCGCGACCCCTACGCATTCAAACTTCCTCTTTCCCAGCCTAATACTCCAGGCTCCCCTGTGGTTTCTGATGCTCGCCCCTACCTGCCCTAACAGATCGCAACCTACAATGACCTGGTATTCCCGTGTCATGTTCTCCACCACATGCGCCCCTAGCTCACCCTCTTTCCCTGTCCACCGATCAAGCCCAATTATCGCCTCACCCTCTACGCTACAGGGACCACCCAGAGTGATCAGCTGGCAGTCACATTTCTGTATCCGGAGTACCCTCTCGCTCCCGCAACCTTTTCCTAACGCCCTTCGAGTCATGATAGTGCTCGAGCTACCCGTGTCCACAAGGCACTTTACTCCCCCGTCTACTTCAATAATTGGCAACCAGCATGGCTTACCTCGGACAGTGTTGCATATTGCTGTGCGGTCGCCTCTCTGCCGACACACTCCTCAGATGTCGTCCCGCTTCCTCCTTTCTGCCGCCGCTCGTCGCTGCTCGCTCCGTTGGCTGCGCCTACCTCCTTCACCTCCGCTGCTGCCTGTTCATCCGTCTCCGTTCCCGACGTTCCTGACTCCTCGGTTGCCTCCTCCGAAGTTCCGTCCCGCTGATGTACCCTGGCTCGCCTTTTCATCCTCTGTACATTCACCTCCATGGGTTCGTCCTGAGGTCTCTCCCTCCTGCGAAATATGTATGGGCACTGTCTTGCTATGTGCCCTTCCGTCCCGCACTCGAAGCATCTGGTGCGCGGACACTGCGCTACTAAATGTCCCGGCTTCCCACACCCGTGACATTTTCTCTCTTCCCTCCGGGACCCATTCCTCGGCCTCGACGACTGTCCCGATCTTCTCTCTCTCATCGTGGCTTTTTCTCCACTCGGCTGCTTTGTGTCCCTCTTCCTCCAACCTGTCGGGGCTGTCCATGGTCGTCTATCCGTCACTCGGATCCATCCTGGTTCTTCCACATCCATCCGTGTCTCTTCCTCTCTGGCACTCAGGTCGATCATCTCCTGGGCGCATTCGAGGAACGATCGCTCTCTGGGCAGTCCGTCCCTCTTCCCCGTTTCTTTAGCCAGCTGGACTTTCAATATTGTCGACAGGAACTCCATCCTGGCTTCGACCTCTCCCACGCTCATTGTTTCCCGCATCTTCTCGGTTATGCGATTGTACTTCGCCACGAGTACCCCCGCATGTTGTCCCCTTGTCTGGCGTTGGGACCGCCGCTCCCTAAACATTTGGAATATGTCCTCTTCCGGTGTCCACCTACCTCCTCCAAAAGCCTTCTTCAGCCGCTCCTTAATCACCGGCCACGGAGTCTCCTCGTCCGCTTGGATCTGGTTCAGGACGTTCCTCCTTACTCGGCACACAAGAGCTGCTTTTAGTGCTTCCGCGTCCCCTAGGTTCACCAGGTCCTCCGCCACCTTTACCTCGATTCTTGACATAAGGCGATCTCCGCCTTTCAAGAAATGGTTGAGCTCACCTACCTCGCCTCCGAAGCGTTCTAGGTCCGCAATGGCCCTCCGTAAGTCCTGCGTGGTTGTTGCTCTTATTTTCATCCATTCCAAGGCATTGGCGTGTGCTTCTGCCAACGTGTCCCTTGGTAATGGAGGGATCTCCTGGATCTGAGGGATCTGTGCTACCTGAGGGACTTGAGGTATCTGAGGTACCTGAGGCGCGATCTGGGGTACCTGGTTGATCTGTGGAATATCCTGAGGTTGAGGAATTTCCGGTACGCTTAGTACTCCCGGTCTAATTAAGCCTTCTGTCGGCATCTCGCCTTTTCCTTAAACACCACAAAAAAAAATATATACTTTAAAAAAAATTACTTCCCTGACGTTCTCCCGGGTTTCGGCACCAGTTAAGCGTCGTCGGACTTAAGAAATAAAAAAAAAGAAGGAAAAGGGAAGAGATGTAACATACACGACTTCAGAATAAACACTGCTTTATTCGTTCCATAAGCCTCCTTATATACACTTATCATGTTTATTTACATTACCAGATAGTATTAAGGCTGATACCGCCAGTCTCCGGTCTTTATCTTATATATATATATATATATATATATAGATATATATATATATATATATGTATATATATATATATATGTGGATATGTATATATGTGTGTGTGTGTGTATATGTATATATATGTGTGTTTTCCTTTTGCACATAAATTATATTAATTTTTTCTTGCATTTTTAATGATTGTAACATAATTTTTTTTTTCCTTTATATTTTATGTAGGTTTTTATGAGATTTTTCCTACTGTAAAAAATTAATTTCAATTTTCTAAGTAGTATTCAAACCACTGTTATGTCAAGTGTAAGGTTACTACAACCATAAACTTGTAACTTATCTGTATGACATGTTGTAATATATAAAAAAAAAAAAATAAATAAATAAATAAAAAAAAAAAAAATTGTGTTTAGTTTCTGTGTTTTTATTTATTTTTTTTAATTATTTTTCCAGCTGAGTGGAAGTGAGTTTTATTATCTTTTAAGGGTATACTGTAAGAACAATTGTAAAGTGTTAAGGCTGGTCACCGTTGGCTCCGATCTAGGAATATTTAAGTTTCCGAAAATCCTGTTCGTAAACTGGTGGGGGGGGGGGGAGATAAAGACCGGAGACTGGCGATATCAGCCTTAATACCATCTGGCAATGTAAACAAACATGCTAACTGTATTTAAGAAGACTTATGGAACGAATAAAGCAGTGTTTATTCAGAAGCCGTGTGTGTTGCATCTCTATCCCTTTCCTTCTTTTTTTTTATTTTTCAAGTCCGACGACGCTTAACTTAGTTTAAACAATTACAAACTCTACTTTAGTTTGAAGTAAATTTTCTTTACTCCATTGTAAAGAAATTTTTAATTCCTTAAATTAAATTTTTTTAGTTATTACTTCCTATTCAAGAAAAAATGTGACTTATTTAAAAAAGTGCAAAATTTTAATTTTCTGCTTTCCTCCTTAAAATTGGAATTGTTGTTTATACACAGTTTTTTGTAGCTCTTGACGTGTAATATAATAGTTAATAGTTTCCTCTACTTACAGGACACTCTGTATATCTTTATTAGGAAATTCCTTTTTCATTTCTAAACAGTTCAGTTAATGGTCTTTTTTATTTAACCTTTGAAATTTCTAATCTGCATAACGACATTAATAATAAGATAAAAGTTAGTTGGTTTTTAATTAATTTTATTTATTTATTTTAGGTGAAGACAACGTAGCAACCTGTGAAAGTGAATATTTATCCAACTAGGTAAATATCTTCTAGACATACTTCAATAATATGCATGAAATGACTATTTTTTGTTGTTTATTTCTATTTAATAACAGATATCACATAGTTATAACTATAGATTAATTTCTTCGCCATATAGTTTGGAAAATTACATTAATTATTGAATTAGAAGAAATTAATAAAATTTTACCTTTCCTTTGCAATTGTAGAAGCTAAACAGATTTTCTGCTCGAATTTAAGACATGGTGGTTGCTGAGCGACCATCCATAATGACGTGTCCACTAAAGATCATTTATCATTTCAAAAGGTGACCAAACACCATTAATAGACCTTCTTTTTACCGAATGGCATTGAAGGTTGTGTTATTCTTTTCTTCCTTTTTTTTTTTTACTTACCAAATCTTTTGAAAAAAAAATCTTTTTTGCATCTTTTAAAATTCCTCCTTAGAGAATAAACTGTATTGCCGTTTAGAAACAACGATATCTTATCCAAGAACTATAATGTGCAAATGGAGAATTTTAAGATATATCAAGAATAACAATTCTGGAAATGTTTCTGAAAATGTTGACATAACTTCATAATTAATAAATTTCTGAAGAAGAAGAATGTAAAGTATTTTTCTTTATGAAATGTTAGATAGCTTGATATTCAGGCTATAAATAGAATAGAAAAATAATTTTATTCTGGGACGAAGTCCCTTCAGAATAACAAAAAAGTACAGAAAATAAAATTTTACATCTGGCCAGATAAAAACAAACATAACAAATTAAGATAATGATAGGTCATTAAAGAAAAGAAAAGAAAAAAAATATTGGTTATACATACTATATACAAAATAAAATATAAAAATCTATATAAAAAACTCTTGAAACCATACTAAGATACTTAAAACTATTTACGATGTTAAAACATAAATAAACCCTTTTAGAAAAAATAAAAAATACAGAAAAAATAAATGTATATTCTTCTTAACAGTAAAATCTGTTTCTGTTGAAACAGAAAAAAAAAAAAAAAAAAAAGAGAAAAAGAAAGTCGAATCTATAATAAGTATTGAGGTCATGAGCTACATGTGAATATGGTCTTATATATAATGTGTAATTTTACATAAAAGATTAGCTGGTGCCTGACTGTTTTTGGGACAGGAATTGGAATAGGAGGGTTTTGAATGTAGATAAGGATGAAGAATGTCGAATTTTGATTGGAAGGGAATTCCAGAAACTAACAGAACGTGCAATAAAGGAGTTTTGGAACGAGGCAGATCTGTGAGAAGGAATGTAAAGGTCGGAAGGTCGAGATCTTGTGGAGAGTGAGTGGACTGAGGACTTGAATTGGAGAAGGTTGTAAGCGTAGGAAGGACGATGATTGTTGATGATATGATAGAGGAATGTACCTAGGAAATATTGTCTTCGAATGGAGGGGAAGAGCCACTCTAACTCAGTGTAATGGTGAGAGACATGGTTGTATCTCGGGAGACATGGTAGTATCTCGGGAATTAATATAGTTATTAATTCATTCAACTTATCTTGTATATTACTTTATCTTTTTATTTATGTTTTTTTTATTTTTTATTTTCCTTTCTTATGTACATATTGTGTGAATGAATACTATAGCCCTAGTACCAATGCCCTTCAGTGTGGCAGACTGTATTAATAATCAATGAAAAAAAAAATTAATTCATTCGTGTTGGATTTTGGATTTTTTTTATCGCGTTTTTAAAATTTTTATTTTGAACTGAATTTTATTTTTTTTAAAACTATGTCTTTTCTATATTTTCAAAGTATAATTTAATTTAAGAAAAATGATATGCCATTTAAAATGGTATCTTAACGCGACACTTTAGAGAGGCAAAAAGGGAAAAATATAGCGAAAAATCCAAATAAGAACGACTGTTTTGAACATTTGGATTAAAATATCTCAAAATCTAAATACATTGGAGAATTCAAAAACCAATTTGCGGAAGTCAATAGAAATATATTTCTTAATTAGTCATAAAAATAAGATATGCTTCTATTCCATTTTCTGTCCCACCCAATAGTTTCGACAAATTACTGACGCCCGTTACAGAACTTATATTTAAAAAAATGAATTTTTGTTAAATATTCAGCAAATAGATTTTAATCAAAAGTATTCATCACATATTTTATTTATTATAAACCCCTTGTATCATTTTTAGAGTATGATACAGATGACGTTTCGAAAGAGCTATAAGTATATATATATATATATATACAGCTATAAGTTTACTAGAGTAATTTATACAACATTATAATTGTATATATTGTAAAGTTATTACTTTAAATATAGAAAGAAAAATAATTTTTACACAATTATAATTGATCACATTGTAAATGTTATTAATTTCGAATAGAGAACAAAAAAAAATTTATATACAATTTTATTTTTTTTTTTTACTTTTGCACTCCTATACATACGATTTTCCCAAGTGTGCGTAGATGGGAAGATTGTTTTAGACCTGACCTCATAGTTTTGAATTTAAAGGGGGGTTCGGTGAAGGGAGATATTGGAGAGGCAATAAATAATGATTGGTGGTGTCGTCATCAAACTTATTGGTTCGCTCAGCTATTATATTTATTTGTAATAATTCTGGGTAGTTTATATAGTTACATAGCCCACTGAAACTTTATTATTACGCAACACCTATATCGTCTTAAGATGTGAAACTTTTAATGAGTGATTGATTATCCTAATAAAATAATTACTGTAGATTTTAATTTAATCTCCGTTATATTTTAAATAATTAAATTTTTATTAGGTAATTTATGTGTTCTTATAATATCAGGATTATTTTACCATTGACAGTCTCTATTATATTTCACAACTTTATTTGTGCAGTAGCTTTCGTTGTCGTGCACCATATTCATCTCTATAATTACAACACATCAAATTAATGTCATTAATTAATTTATTGATATATCTTATTTGATGTGTTATAAATATAGAGATGAATATGGTGCAGCTACTGCGCAAATAAAGTTGTGAAATATAATAGAGAGTGTCAATGATAAAATAATCCTGATCTTATAATTAAATTTTTTCTATCAAAACACATTTCTGACTTTACATATCCGAAAAACCCAAACAGGATACTACTTCTGACTACTTTATATGAGGATATTTTTAGCCACTTCTATGCCTCCTACATCTTCTGAAAGGACACCGGTGGCGTTGCTTAGCATACTTATTGTACTTAACCGATGGTTTACGATGAGGAAGAATCCTGAGCGTTGTAAACAAGGCGAACGAACGTGTCCCGACTCTATTAATAATGAAACAAAGCTTCTGTTTGTTTATTGCAAAATAGTTCTTTCCTTCGGAAAACCATCTTCGTTTTAATCTTGCTGCAATTTTTTGTATTAATGTTATTCAAAATAATTGAATTCTAAATTTTGTTACACAATTTGAAAACATGTCTATTTTATAACTCTTAATGAAAAGTGTGGAATGTCCTCTACCATAATTAATTAATTTGTTATGTAAATTGATCGAGCATATATAGATATCCATTTCATATCATAGTCTAATCCATAATCCTTAATGAAATCCCCACTGATAAGAAGCTTTAATACTCCAGACCTGAACTAGGGACGATTCTCCACTATATGTAATTATTTTGCGGTAATTGGATGCATGAAGGCTCCCTCAGACAGACGCGATACTGTAATCGATAGTTGTCGACAGTTAAGATATCGAAAGAGTCAAAATAGTAATTAAATGTATCGATGTATCGATTTAATTACTATTGGGAGTCATAATTTCCATATTTGGAGATAGTAAGGACGTAAAAATTGAACAAAAATATCAAAACAAGGTATCATTATTCCGGGCTCAATATTTTTAATCATTAAAAGAAGGGTAAGAGGGTTCACGTTGAATTCTTTAATTCCTAATAGCTTTTATAAAAACAACGTGTATCTACTTATAAAACCTATTCATGCAAAATAGTAAAGTATTTAATAATCATTTAGTAAAGTAAATATTGTAAATATATTTTCGTTAGGCACCGATAGATTCGTAGGTATAGTTTGTATCGTAAACATTGTGTTTTTCAGAAGTTGCATTATTTATTAACTATTTAAAAAGGAAACATTACAGTGAAACATAAATATACAAAATATAAAATATGAATTGCAAGTATGTAATAGTATAAATAACAATTTTAAATATTTCTTTTATTGGTTAAAACTAAAATTAATAAAATAAAATGTATACGCTTATAAAAATAAATAAAAAAAATAATGATAGTCATTCTAAGGTGGCAGATTGGGGCAAGATCTGAAAACTGTTTTTAGAAGTTCAGGTCTTTATTAACAAAAGGGTTTATCTAGTTGTTCAGGCGAATGCGGGCGTTTTGTGAAGTGGAATCAATTTATTTATAATCGTTTAAAGCGACGTAATAATTCAATATATCTTTAAAAACTGATGTTTCAACTGCATTAGTACTCAATAAAAGTACCTGATTATGCTCAGCACAAACCATTGGTTCAAGCAAAAATTATAGGCAAACCAGATCTAAATATAAAACAGATGTTTTTCCTTTCTTCAACCATCAAGGCATTATTAATGTGACAACTACGTTAAAAATTGCAGAGCACGACATGAAAACTGCATTAATTTGCCTATAATGCAGTCATACTTCATAAGTCATTCTTTTTCTGTAAATGATTAGAAAAATGTCAAACCAGATGTCACGTTATTATTTTTATTAAACCAGGTTATTTTGTTTAAATAATACATATTGAAGGTTGCTCCATCCACTCTAACATTATAATTATAAGATTTCTATAACATAAATATGTTGTGACAAGGACAAAATATTATTTAAATCACAATACAACCAGTTGCACTTACATACACGAACGTGCAATTACATTTTTAATGATACCTTTATTTGATCCAGTTTGTAAAAACTCTCCTCTTGAAGGTTGGTCTTCGGGCGAATATAGCAGCCAAAATAGTGAGAAAAAAAATCCGGTGCACGCATCACACAACTTTCACGT